TTGGTACCAGGGATCAAACCTGGGATCAAGTGCTTGCGAGGCAGGTAGGGGTACCACTGAGCTAAATCCCTAGCCCTTTTTTTTTCTATTATTAACAATGGTATAATTGTAGATATTATTGATTCTTACAATATATCAATAATACATTTGTTTTTGACTCCACCACCTTTCTATTGTTAATGGTGGTATAGTTGTTGCTTTCATTTGGTTTATACTATATGCCAACATCTGGTTTGTCTTTGTGGCATTACTGTGGCTGGGAGTGGTGGCACATGCTTATAATCCCAGCACTCAGGAGTCTGAGGCAGGTAGACTGCTATGAATTCAAGGTCAGCCTGGGCTACACAGTGGGTTCAAGGCTAGTCTGAACTACATAGCAAGACCCTGATTCAAAAAACCAAACAAGAGCCAGGGATTTAGCTCAGTGGTTCGGTGGCCTGCCTCGCAAGCGCAAGGACCCAAGTTCAATCCCCAGTACCAAAAAAAAGCAAAAAACAAAAAAACCAAACAAGACCAAAATAAACAAAAAATGTTACTATGGCTTATGGGGGGAAAATTTCTGTGGTCTGCTTTCTCCTTTCTAGATGGTTCTGGGGATCAAACCCCAGAAGTCTGGACATTAAGATGACTCTCAAATATTATACTGAATAGGTTAAAAAGGGATGTAAACACCAAACAACCAAAACCAAGGACACATCACATTGAGACAGAATCAAACTAAAGAGACATTTACAGTAGTGACAGTTTCTCTACCTTAACTGATCTTCAACCCACAGCACAAAAGCAACAGAAAAGTAAGAAAGCAAGGTAACAAAATGCATCTCAAAACCTTTACCTTCCTAAAAGCTGATCAGTGAAGCAGAGGAAACTACAGGCAAAAAACTAAAAGGCCAATCAGTCAAAATGTTTGATGAGATAAAAGAAACATAAGCAAATGCATAAAATGTTTAATGAACTCAAATAGAATTTAATTCAACAGATAAAGTATTTTATCAATAAAATGTTCCATGACTTTACAGAAGAAACAAACAACAAAGTAACTGAGTTAAACAAGACATGGATGAGCATTTAGGAAAAGAAGTAGAAACTATAAAAAGCGAGCAAGCAGTAGCAGATGACATGAAAAATTTGATGGAATGTATGGATAGCTTCCCAGAAGACAAAACTCCTTCTGCAGGTAAAATGATTCGATAGTTTTATTCATAAAGGGGATTAATTACTTGTTTGACAGGACTATCTCAATATTTAAGTTTGGAAATACCTGTGAATTGTATATACCTGCAGAATGAGATATATTTTTTTGTCCTTCCTTTGATTTTGTGTGACCATATTTTCTGAAAATCACTTAAGAAAGAAGGTAACTTCTTTTTTGCTTTAGAAAGTTGGTTTTTTTCCAGTACTAGGGATCGAACACAGGACCTTGTCTTGTGGGACAGGCGCAGCACCACTGCTAAATCAGAGCACCACAGCACCACCAGAGCTAAATCTCTGGCCCCAGAAAGTTTTGTTTATCTATTTAGGTCTCATTTATGGAACAATAAATGTCATTTAATGCCATCTGATATTTTAAATTCCTCATCAGGTTTTAGACATGGGACTAATGTGAGGAGAGTAGTAGAAATAGAGAAAAAGATGGATTATAAACTCAATGATACCCTAAAAATGACAAGACGAGCCACGCAAGCTCAATCTGACAGCTGCTAGATGATGCAAAAAAAAAAAAAAAAAAAAAAAAAAAAAAATTATATGAAAAGATAAAGTTGAACCTACTCAAAAGGTATAAAAAATTTATTCATCAATATCATTGAAGAAAACTTTCCAAGTCTATGGGAAGAATTAAATACCAAGTACAGAAAGTCCCTGATATACGAACATTCAAGTTGTGAACGTTCAAAGATACAAATGGACATCACATTATATTTATAGATGTGAACAAATTGTAGAAATAGCTCACAGCTGCTGAACATCATCACAGTTGTGCTTCTGTGTGCTTACTGTGTGATAATGTACAGTAAACAGTACAGTGCTCGATCATAGCTCAGGAAGAGGAAAAGCAGTGGTGATATGGAGGTTTGGTTTTTTTATGCTTTAAATATTTGTGTCAAAGGTGTATAACTCATTTTATTTAAGATGAAAATATCCAACTTACATTCGACCGGAATGGTAATTGTTCGTAAGTCGGGGACATACTACAAAAGGCACACAAAACCCAAACAGCTGCAAACAGAAAAGGGAACTCACAGCCTGTCTCAAAATTAAGAACAAACACTGAAAAAAAACTTACTTTGTAGCTGGGTGTGGTGGCGTACACCTGTAATCCCAGCATTTGGGAGGCTGAGGAGGGAGAATTGACCTGAGTTTGAGGCCAGCCTGGGATACATAGTAGGTTCAAAACTAGTCTAAACTACATGGTGAGACCCTGTCTCAAAAAAGAAAAAAACAAAACAAAACTTTGTGAAATGATATGATGGTGAATTTGAGAAACAGCTGAAAGGGAAGATATCTCCCTGGAGAATTACAGATCAGGAGGGAAGAACTGGGACAGCAGCTGGACAGGAATGTTGTAATCTAGCAGGTACTCAGAAAAAGAGCTGTTGTACTGTCCCCTCCCCATAACCATGGGAGGTCAGAAAAGGACTTTGGAAATTCTGAAGAGTTGTATATATACAACTGTGTTCAAAGATCATCCCACCCACCTAGTCATGGTGACAGCAACTGTGTTCCAGGGCTCACTGCAGTACTAGTTGCCATCTTACTTTCACTTCAGGTAGGCCCACACCAAGGCATTCTCTCTCTCCCACCATTAGCTCCAGCCTCTATTTATCTTTGGAAGAAAAATTTAACAAAAAAGAAGCACATTGAAAAAAAGTTTATTTAAAAAAGTTCTAGCAGCAAGAACAGTAACAAAACAAAAAGAGAGATGGACAAACAAAACAAAGAGGAAGTTGTGTCCTGTGGGACTTGTCTCCATTCTTAATCAAGTTCTTTATACCGAGCAAACATGACTCTTCGAACAGCATCTCGGTAAGTCTCATTGGACTGTCTCTTGCTGGTTCTTCCCGGGACCCCAACACCAGGCCCCCTCATCCGGCTTTCAGTCTGCAAAACATAGACAAACAGTGAAGTGAGGCCTGTAAGTTAATAATCGATCTCAGGACTAATTTTTGATCACAAGCATTTTTGGATCAGGAAGGAGCAAGATGTAAGGAAATATTTTAGAATCTTTCACTATTAAATAAATATTAAAGATAAATAAGGATGGTGATGGTGCTAGGTGCAGTGGTGCACACCTGTAATCACAGCACTTGGGAGGCTGAGGGCAGGAGGATCACTGTGAGTTTAAGGCCAGCTTGGGCCACAGAGTGAGTTCAAGGCCAATCTCAACTACATAATGAGACCCTCTCTCAAAAGAAAAAAAGGACAGTAATGCCATGATTGCAGGATATAGGTTTCAATACCAGAGATATGAGAAGTTCTATAGGAAAGAGATAATTCAATCTCCGGTGATTGACATTTTTCAGAGACACCAAGCCAACACAAAATGGGCATTATTTCCTGATTACCTTTTCTAGAGGCTCTTCCTGAAGTATGAAAAGCAAAGGCCTGAGAACCAGGATTAACTTCATGTGCCCCAAATTTTAGCTATCCAAGACTTCTGCTGATAATCCCTCTTGGAGACACCTTTTATTGCTGGTTCTCTGTTTTTCTTCTTTCTTAAACCAAATGACCCTTCAGTCTCAAACTGTCTGATTCTCATACTGACCCACCAAATCTTCCTTCCTCTTCCTACTGCCACCCAAACCACCAAGGGCCTAGCATGCCAACCTAGGACCTAGTGATTGAGACTGATGGGTTCCTCTCTCATGTCCCATGCCAACAGTGGAAAAATCCAAGCTGAAAGCCAGAGAGTAAAGAAAGTTAAGTATATTCCAGGGTCATGTTGCCTCCAACAAGACAGAAACCATTTTACCTCCTCTGATGAACCCAGTCCAGGATGGCCATATCCCAAGCCTGCCCCTTTTCTCCAGCCAGTGGGCTGCTGGACACAGCCTCCTTTGCTGCTAGGGTTGATGTCTTCTTTATCAACAGGCTTACGGTCACTGTTAAAAGAAGCAAACATATTATGCCATCATGATCAAGATGGCCTGCTGATGTGCCTACCAAAAACTTCACTTTGGGGCTAGGGCTATAGTTTAGAGGCAGAGCATTTGCCTTACATGTCCTGGATTTGATCTTCAGCACTGTAAAACCAATCACTAACCAACCAACCAAATGAACGAACAAATAAACCCACCCACCAACCTAGCCATTCACTTTTTTTTTTCCTCTAGCCATTCACTTATGTCCTGACTCAAATCTGCCTCTCATAAGATATATCTAACAATGTCTCTGTGTGCCTGCTATCGACACACTAGGCGTGTTCTAGGAATACAAAGATTTGTCCCTGCTCATGGAAAAGGATGAGTGAACCGTGATAACAGACATTTACAGAACACTGAAGAGTTTGAGTACAGACGTGGCAACAGTAGATATCTACTACAGAAACACAACTGAGGGCCTGGCATGTTGGCATACAATTATAATCCTGGCACTCGGCAGGCTGCAAGTTCAAGGCCAGAGCACTTGTACTTACCCAGAAATAAGAGGAGCAAGAAAAAAGACTGAGAAGGAAGACAGCCAGGAGAAATGTGTTATGAATGGGGTGAGAATACAGAAGGGTCTTTGCACCAGCACTACATCATCCCTGGTGCCTCAGAGCAGAGGTGGTCTTCCTTCTACCTGACTGTTACTGGTCTATTATACAGTACAGAGAAATTACAGAGAAATATCCAGTGAGAAGTCATATTTATTAAGTCCAACCCTAGCACTTAAAATGAAAATGGAATGGACTAAAATAGAAATACCAGCATTCAATGTACACAGTAGGGAAGACTTACTCAGTTACACACATTTAATCATTGGATCATAATGCAAATATATCTCAATGGGCTATAACAAAATTTAGCTGAAATGTCAGAGCCTCAGACTGTCCTGCCTTTCTGGGGGCTTGGAAGGTCAATTTCCCTTTCCTTACAGGCACAACCTTCTCTGATCACAAAGACAGGGGACTCTCTCTGTTCGACCCTCTTGCTACACCATTAGTCTCTAAAATGCAAAGTTTGATCAATACCCTGCTTAAAATCTTCTCATGATCTCCCACTGCCATTGAGAAAAAGCCTTAGCATGGTATTCAAGTTATACAAACATCATGAATTGGCCTTCATCTGTTGGACCAGCTTTATTTTCTGTCATCCTCTCCAAATGAAATACCTTGCTCTTCACTGGATTTCTGTGTCTGCCCCAAAGACAAACCATCACGTAAGCCTTCTCTATTCTGTGTAAAGAGACTCTATGTAATTCTGGACTTTTGACTTGGGAACTTAGTCATTAGAAACAAATGCAGGAAGCTAGAGATCATAGCCAACTACTCAGCAGCTATGTGTAAGAATGAAGGTTTACCAGAAAGAAAAAAAAAAAAGCCCATTCTTATTGAAAAGAGCACAGAATTGAGAAGAGAAAGGATTCCTGATTATGGCTACTATAACCCTGGTTTGAACAGGGGAAGCAGCCAGCCAACCTTCCATGTAAACAAACACATTTCCAGTGTTAAGACAGGTGGTCAAAGCCATGCTCCCTAAGTTCAGACAAAACTCATTCCTTATCAGGAATCTCTTACCTGAGAGAGAAAACAGCAGTATATTTGGAGAAGAAATTGGTTTTTAGGTCTTGAGGCTGAAAGAATTTGTCTTACCTGTCAGTTTCCCGGGAGTATTTAATACGTTTCCTTTCTGGAGAGTCAAAAGATTGGAGTTTTTCCTTGCGATCATTTCCTCTCTCTTTAAACCTTCCCTGTTGGTAAGCAGAATAGACCTAAGATTTCTAGCTGAGGCTAGGGAGTGGGAAATCTTTACCCCATTCCAGACTTTTTTCTTGAGATGAGGTCTTGCTATGGTGCCCAGACTAGACTCAAGCAATTCTCCTACCTCAGCCTCCCAAGTGCTGGGACCACAGGCACATATTGCTGCTTTCGGCTTTGATATTTCTTTTGCTTATTTTTTTTTTAAATGGTACCGGGGATCAAACTCAGGACCCTGTGCTTGCAAGGCAGGCAGTGGAACCACTGAGCTAAATCCCCGGCCCCGTTTGCTTTTTTAGATACAGGGTTTCACTTGGCAATTCAGGCTGGCCTTGTACTCACTACGTAGCCTAGGCTGGTCTTGAACACATAGTGATCCTGCTTCCTCAGCCTCCTGACTGCTGGGATTATAGGCATGTGCCACCATGCCAGGTAATATTTCTTTTAAAGTTGAACGTAGCACAATTCCTGGTATCTCTTGCTCCTTCACGCTCTTTTAGGGAAAGCAGTGACTTCTCTGGCTGGCATGTTTGGAAGAATACTTGGCGCGTTTGCCTCAGCCTTTTTCCCTGCTGAGAAGCAGGTGATCTTACATAGTTGTACACAAGTTGATTCTTAATCATCACATAAGACCTGCTCCAGCCTGGGGAAGTCCGTGATATGCAGTGAGTTTGCCTGATTGTGTGGTCTAGGTAGTGAGTCCATCTGGCTCTCAATACTAAACTACTCCCTCCAATTTAGCCTTTAACAGTAAGGGATGGTGTTTCAGTAGTTCTATCCAACACTCCTTCATTTTCTCAACTAATTTAAAAGCAGAGCAAGAAATGCTACTTATTTGATCTACTAGGGGAACCTAATATCACTTTTAAAAAATATCCTTTATTGAGACATAATTTATAAACAATAAAGTATATCCATTTTAATATAAAATTTGATCAGTTTTGACAAATTTATACATCATATTTTAGGGCCCTTTGCTCTCTATCCTCTTATAAGGACGGATAAGTACAGCTCTATAGTAGACAGCAAAAAGAGCTGCAGTCAAGAGACTAACACGTCACTCAAATTTACCTCTCGCTCTCTCCTCTCCAGATAGGCTAGCTCCTGCTCAGACTGTTTTATCTTCCGGTGGATTTCCAGGTTTTGCTGTAAAAAGAAGACATTCTATGAATATTGGTCTAAAGTAAATGGACCTAGAAATGCCTTCAGGCCTTGCATGATAGCTGCTTTAGGATTGTTAATTTTTTTTTTTTTTTTTTTTTTTTTTTTTTTGGTACCGGTGATCGAACTCAGGCCCTTGTGCTTGTAAGGCAGGCAGCAGAACCACTGAGCCAAATCCCCAGCCCGGGATTGTAACTCTTGATGGACTGACTTTGCTAAATGACCACTGTACTCTGTAAGTAATAATCCCTAACTAGTCTTGTCTTACTCTCAGAGGAACCCAGATTCTAATGTTGGGTTGCCACTCAGATGGGTTATAGAAAGAGGATCTTCATTCTCCTTTTCTCTAAAATGTGGAAGACAAAAACCTGGTTTATCGCTAAGGTGAAAATAATGCGACAGAACCTGAGCACACTAATGAAGTAAATCATGCATATGCATCTGCCCACCATCTCCATCATTCACCATCCCCAAATACTAGTCACCTTTCAAGGGCCCAGAGGAACATGAAAAGTAGCACTAGGGTCCTGAAGGAACACATACTGCTTTGAGAGCTGCATACTCTTCAAGCATGGTTCTATTACATAAGCTTTCTCACATACAAACACAGAAGGGTCTAAAACAGATCCTGAATGGCAACCTGCTTCTTTGTACCAGATGATTCCAAGGAAAGGAAAAGGAATACAGTTTCCTGTTCATTAGAGTAGGGCCAGTTCAGTTTGTGAATTTGGCAGGCCTATGGCTCCTTTTTCCTGGCAACTCCTCTTTTATCTTTTCCCCTATTAGCACTATCATCAGAGGGCTGAAACTCAAATGTGCCATTCTGAGGACTTAAGAATACCAGAGGGTTAAAGGAATTTGGGAGGTAAAATGTTCTAAAGATTGTGAGGAGGAGCTGCTTCTTAGAATTCCCAAAAGTTTGTAGTTTCCACAGGTGTAACTTGGAGAAGTAGTGTACCTATTACCTAAAGCAGAGAAGGGGCAGAGATTTAGCTCAGTGGTTGCCGCCGCTTGTCTCACAAGCGCAAGGTCCTAAGTTTGATTCCCGGTAGCCGCCCCACTGCTCAAAAAAAGCAGAGCTTCTCAGCTTTTATCTAGGTAAGACTTTGGGTTCTCTGTTGAGAGAAAATGGAAACCAAGTCCCCTCATACCTCATCTTGCAACATCTACTAGAGAAAGAGTGTGAAAGAAATAACTACTCTTCAGATCATGTGTCCATGTAGGGGTTTTGCTTATTAATTTGGCTCCTTGATCAGTACATATAAACGGGAAAACTGCAGGGGAGGATCAATGTATGTCAGTTTAATATCCCACAAAATAGCTGCTGTGTTGGTGCTTACAGCAATATTCACTACATGAAAAATGAGAGAATCTTACTCACCTATAAGGAAAACTACAAATTGTCATAGCTGAATAGAACTGGGGGGCGATATCAAGTATCAAAGAAGAGAAAGGGCTTATGTGAGGTCCAACTATTAAGTCAATGACAACACTAAGATGAGAAACCCCGCAAGTGAGTTTTCTGTCCCACAATCCCTTCTCTTTCTGTAAATTCTTTGTATGTGGTGTACAGCCATGCCACTTACTTTGGCTCTACACAATGAAGTTCTTTGCTGGTTACCTTTGGTCTACGCACACACAGCCTTAACTCAGAGTAATTAATGAACAAAAAGTGGAAGAGCAATTCACTTTTGAATTGAGAAGATTTGATGATAGGAACTGGGGATGAAGGACAGCATAAGCTACTTTATTCCCTGTAACTGATGTTACGAGTCAAAATCTGAAAGGTCATGGTTTCTTCCCCTAATACCTTGTGCAGGTCTGACAGCTGTTGGTGTTTGATTAGAACTTCTTTATTGGGAAACTGCCTTCTACAAAGCAGACAAGCCAGCTTATTCCAGTCAGTGAGTTTGTCTTCTTCATTCTCCTTCTTAGTCAGCTCCTCCCGCTGCTGGGGCTGTGTTGTGCGGGGCTGTAGTGGAGCAGTCTGCTCCTCTTCCTCTTCTTCATAGTCACTGTCTCCTCCATATTCACCCAGGAGGCCAATCAGTGGGTTTACCACCTTTGGCTGGAAAGAGAAGGTTAGGGATCAACACTAAACTCTACACTTTTAAGTCCTTTTTTTTTGATATTTTGATCAAGTTATCCAATCTTTGTTCTGGTTCAAAATAGGCCCATTATCATGCTGCCCAGATGGAAGCAACATGGGTAGAGGCTTTTATTCCTTGTTCACTGAGGTAAATGAGAAAGGTTTTTTGGAAGGGACTCCAGCAAGAGAGTGGTGGGGAAAAGGAAGAGAATAGGGAATTGACACAGAAAACAGCAAGAGTTAATACACCACACAGAGAAAGTAATGAACATTTCAAAGTTAGTGTAATCCATGGAAAAAGGAAAGATGAATTTCATCAAGGGGATTTAGGAGGTGTACTAAATACTCTTGGTCATAAGCACTTAGTTATACAAATTCAGCTTAATAATGGTTTATAGTTAATCAAAATTATAAAAAAAAAGCACGGCCAATATTGCTACATATTTGTATTTAATCAAAATAATTAGTGCTTAGTTTGAGACTATCACTTTAAGGAATCTAAAAATGCCTGTCAACATTAGGACCATGCAGCCTGGCTAGGCAGGCTAAATTATGAACAGGATCACACATGCACTCTACAACTAAGAGATTCTTGTGTAGCTTCAAAAGACAGGAAACACTGAGGCCAGGAAAATGGATTTCCTTGGTGATTCAGAAAAGACTGAGACATAAAAGTCAGATGTCTCCTGGCCAGGTGGGAAGAGAAAAAGATAGAGAGAAAGAAAACAGGGAACTGCCTCTGATCCTCCAGTAATATCCCCACCAGCAGACAGAAATTTTTACCTCATGTTTACTCTTAAGAGGAGTAGTTATTTCTAAAATGTGAGAGCAAAAGGACAACAACAAAGTGAGGCACCAGCTTTTGAGTTTCCTCTCCCACAAGACCCAACCACAGACCGAGCCCAGGGCACCATGCATTGGCCTTACAGGAGGAGGACTCTCTTCCTTCTTCACAGTGGGAGGCAGGGGCTTCTTAAAGACATCCTCTGGGGGACTCTTCCCCTCACTGGCATCTTCCTGAAACTGACCAAACGCTGAGGTGATTCTTTTTATTTATTTTTTTGTTTTTTGAGACCAGGTCTATGATATAGTTCAGGCTGACCTGAACTCACAGATATCCTCCTGCCTCAACCTCTTGAGTGCTAGGATTACAGGCATGCACTACCATGCCCAGCCAGGCCAAGGTAATTATATGATACTCAAGCCATAAAAACTAGGTTAAGAGTTAGCCTTATTGAAATGGCTAATTTTCTAAACCTCCAAAGATCTGTAATATTGCTAGAGTGATAAAACACTAAACCTTTAAAAAAAATAACATTTAGGGCTGGGGGTGGAGCTCAATGGTGCAGTGTTTGCGTAGGATGCTTTAGGCCCCTGGGTTCAAACCCTAACACAAACAACAAATCTGTCAGGCACTGGCTGAAGTGTTTATATATATCATCTTCAGCGTTTTTTTTTTTGAGACAGGGTTTCACTATGTAGTTGAGACTGACCTGGAACTCACTATGTAGCCCAGAATCTCAAACTCACAGCGATCCTCCTGCCTCAGCCTCATGAGTGCTGGGATTACAGGCGTGCACCACCATGCTTGGCTCATCTTCAGCTTTTACTACCACCATCATACATACATTATGCATTATCCTCATTTACAAATGATTCAAAATACAGTTGGAAAGGTTAGGGGGCACAAGAAGAATTCAAACATCAAGCCAATATGGATGTAAAGTCTAAGTTCTTAGATATATAAATACACAGTACTCTTTTTCTGCACCTTTAGATAAGCTAGCAGTATTGGGAAAAAAAAAGCTATGAACAGACCTGGAACACTATGTAGCCCAGAATCTCAAACTCACAGCGATCCTCCTGCCTCAGCCTCATGAGTGCTGGGATTACAGGCGTGCACCACCATGCTTGGCTCATCTTCAGCTTTTACTACCACCATCATACATACATTATGCATTATCCTCATTTACAAATGATTCAAAATACAGTTGGAAAGGTTAGGGGGCACAAGAAGAATTCAAACATCAAGCCAATATGGATGTAAAGTCTAAGTTCTTAGATATATAAATACACAGTACTCTTTTTCTGCACCTTTAGATAAGCTAGCAGTATTGGGAAAAAAAAAGCTATGAACTGAACCACAAGCAAATTCATCCATTTTCACTAATACATGATTGGCATGTAGACAAATAAGTATAATTCTTCAGAAAATAATTAAATTTTGTATCACATGTGAAAATGCTTACTACCTTTGATTCTAAAAATTTATCCAAATAAATTAATATAAAAAAGAAATAAGATCTTAAATAACATCTGATAGTACAAGATTGAAGAGATAATGAAAAGAGGATGAAAACAAAGGTATAGTTTTAATATCAATTTTTACCATAACCATACAAGCATTGAAAATAAATATTAAACATTAAAAAGTTATGAAAAATAGAAAGTAAATAAAGAATACAAAATGGTATCTTCTGTTATAATATACCTAGAGAAATGTGTATACAGAGTTAAGCACTAGAAAGGGGAGGTAAAAAAGTGAGAGTGTGGACCTGAGGTGCTGGGATTTGAGATGAGTCACTTTGTTCTGTGATCCAGTTTTCCCATATGTAAATGGGAGTTACTAAGGTGCTGTATGAGGCAAGGGAGTTGCCTGTACTAGTAATCATAGTTTTTTTAGCACCTGCCTCACAAGTGCAAGGTCCTGAGTTCAGTCCCTGGTATGGGGTGGGGTGGGGTGGGGAATCACAGCATTTTTAAAGGAACTTTATTTCTGAAATCTAATGTCCTCTGTCCATGACTCCTACATTTTAATCTAGTCATGTAAATATAAGACAGTCTTCTTACCTTTGTCACTGTCCTATCTTTTTTCTCCTTGCTATCTCTCTTAGACATTTCTTTTTTGCTACTTGACCTTCCTTGACTGGTGGGTTTCTTTTCCTTGATATCTTCTTCCTCAGGTGACCCAGGGTCCTGGGGTACATAGACTTCTTGCTGCGATACAGTTGGAAAGAAGTAAATCTACAGAATGTTTCAATTTTCTGCAATTCCAGGTCTAAGAAACATAGTTCTTTTCTAGAGAAAAGAACAACCCTCTTTACAGACTCACAAGCCTGAGAATTTTTATTACTCTAAAACCCCATTCCAGGGCCCAGGACACACCCAAACCACCTAATGTCCACTTTTTCTAAGAGCAGCACAGTTCTTACCTGTAATGCAACAAGACATTGATTTTCCAGATAGTCAACAGTTCAGATTCCACAGATTTAAGTTTTTCCATTTTTCATGCCATGAACATCCAGAGAATCCAGGGAATGAAATCCTCAAGGTAACAAATTATGGGTGCTTTTCTCAAAAGAATCACTGACAGTATATAAAGCCAGAAACTCACCTGAGTGTTAGGGTCGTAGTAAGTTCCTGCCAAGGGGTCATAGTAGTAGCCAGTAGCAGAATCATATATATAGCAGTCCGATGATGCTACAAAGGATAAAGTGGGAGTCAATGTTAGTGCCTATCTAATGAATCCCTTACTGGGACTTCACCAAGAACCACCCACAAATTAGGGTGGCAAATTCCAACTACAACTGCTTCTCTTTCTGTGTGAACACTGCACTAAATAGCCTCTCTCGCTAACTTTATGATTTTTTTTGGTACCGGGGATTGAACTTGGATCCTTGCGCTTGAAAGGCAGGTGGTGGCACCACTGAGCTAAATCCCCATCCCTAACTTTATGATTTCTAGTAATGAGTACCAAGTCAAGCAAAAAAGAAAGAGAAATAAAACAAAGGTTACTTACACTGTTGTCCTTGTCGATTTGTATCTGAAGACCAGTCTGAATTTCTGCCACCTCCCCTCCTATCTCGGAAATATTTTTTACCCTAACACAGAAATGCAAGTTAAAATTTGGAACAATCCAAGAGCCACTAACCTTAACAGTCATCCACTGCAGGAAACTCAGTATTACCCTTTCAGTCACCTGAAGATTTTAACAGAGCATTCCCCACCTTTTAAGGCCTACCTGGTAGTAATGCATATGGTCAGAATGGTCCCCAGAATCATTTCTGCAACAAACAACACAGTATGTCAAAAGCCTGTTACAAAAAGGTATTTGAAGAATCTAATCCTAGAGATTCACTGAGAAAACCTCTTTTCCTCATTTTGCAAGGAAAGGAACCAACCCGAACAGCAAGTAGGTTGGGTGATCCAAACATTCCTAAGGGCAAGAGCAGTAGGATTCCTGCAAAGCCAGCTCCTGAAGAAAAACGGTGGCTGAACAGAGGGTGCTAGAATAACATCTGATCGCTTCTCGGCCTTTTGGCTAAGATCAAGTGTAGAATAACATCTGCCCCTTCTCTAAAAGTCTATCTCTTAATGTGGCTATCTCCAAGTTACCTTATTAGGTCAAGATGAGAGAGAGAGAGAAAGAGAGAGAGAAAGAGGAATTAGATTTCCCAGTTCTATGAGGGAAACAATCAAGGTCAGGGGAGTGGAAAGTCAGAAAAGCATTTACTTAGGATTCCAAAAGGCCAAGATATATTGAGATTTTTTTTTGGTACATCTAAGACAATATCACCAGGGACCTAAAGATACAAATACAATCAAAAGGGAAAAAGCCTGATGCCATGGTGGCACACATCTGCAATCCTAGCAATCTGGAACCCTAAGGCAGGAGAATTGCAATTTCAAGGCCAGTGTAAGCAACTTGGTGAGAGCCTGTCTCAAAACAGAAAGGGCAAAGGATGTAGCTCAGTGGTAAAGCCTTGTGTAGTGTTATGTGCCCTGGGTTAAATCTCCATTACCTTGGACGGTGGGGGTTGGGGGCCTAAAGTACTTAGTAACTATTTGAGAACAAAAACAATTACAGAATAAGAACAATGCAGGCCAGGGATTTGGCTCATTGGTTCCAGCACCTGACTTCCAAGGACCTGAGTTTGATCCCCAGTACAAAAAAACAAAAACAAAAAAACAATGCAGGTTTCAGAACAGAAAACATTTAAACACATATCACAGCCAAACCAGCGCATGCCAGGAAGGCACCATTCATTACTATCTGATTCTATAGCAAAGAAGAGCATTTTCTTCATAAAAACTCAAGTAGGGGCAACACAAGGAATCCTTACCCTCTTTCTTACCTTCGTTTTCCAGTAGCCAAGTTTACGGCTACCATCTTCCCATCAATGCTAAACGGTGGATCAAGGTTCTGCAAAATCTTCACTACACGAAGAGCTTCCTAGGGAACCAAAGACACACTTGAACCCAAAGAAAGAAAAGGCCACATCAGAAAGAAAAGTGAACATGGTGGATTTTCCTTCTCAGAAGAGAAATTTACTAAATATATGTTCTAGTCATAATTTTAACTGAACACACTGGCATAGATACGCAGCTCTTAATGAAGGTCTAAAATAGTTATCAGAGTGGAGATCAGTTTCTGATACAGATTTCAGAAACTCAAATCATCTAGGGATGTTCCCAGACCAGTGATGGCAAACCTTTTATAGATCAAATGACTAAAATACAACCCAAAACCCACTTATTAACCACAAAGTGTCAACACTGCAGTTAAACATGAATATTAAGGTTTTATTTTAGAAAAAACAATGCTGTGGTGTTCATGCCATAGGTTTGCTAGGACTGCCCTAGACTATTATAAGGAGGAAAAACTCACCGCATGGGAGTCAAGGTCTATAAAGCCATAGGTGTGGCCCATGGGGCCAGTTCTGTTCTTGATGATACGAACATTGGCAGTAGTAAGGTGGACATAGGGCTCCAGCACTTCCACTATCACCTCAGGTGGAGTGGAACGATAGATACGTTTTAGCATGATTGCTGAATAAGCACAAATGGTAGAGAAACAAGAGAAAGATGAAAATTTGAAGTCTTGAGAGGGTGATGGTTATCTCCTCCCACTCCAATCATGGAGATTTAATCCAGAGCCTTCACACTAAACTACATCCTCAGCTTTTTTAATTTTTTATTTTCAGACAGGGTCTCACTAAACTGCCCAGGCTGGGTTTGAATTTGTAATCCTCTTGCCTCAGTCTCCCACAGAGTTGGGATTATTGGTGAACACCACCAGGCCTCATTCTGATGGTCACTGTTTATTGCAGATACTATTCTGGCTCAAGCAAGTCTAGTTCTATAAAGAAATCCTAGACAAATACTGCCTACTTTTTATTTTCACCAATATTTAGAAATCTAAAAATCATGTCTTTTTGTATTCATGCAACAGTTTGCTACCTGGAAGGTGTAGATCCTGTAACTGGTTCAGTAAGGCCAACAAAGTAATAGCTTTTGTAAACATATAGTACACAAGCTTTCTGAGATATGTGAAAACAGTTGGCTACTAGCCACAATTTGGTCTATTTATGCTGCAGATGTAGTGATCAGTTTAGCACATCCCTGACAAACCACTTACTTTTGCTCTCTCCATCCTGGCGTGTCTCCCCAGACCATGACTCCTTCTCTCGGTCTCTTCGGAAAGCAAGCCCTTCCCTTCGAGAATGAGGCAAATATCTTTCTGCTTCTCTCTTTTGATGTCCCAAGCGTGGTTCTTGTCCTTCTTCCTGTTTTCTAGATTCAGATTCTTTATCAGCTGGCCTCGAGGACTGGCCGGGTTGTTTTTCCAAAGATGCTGGTATAGATGTTTTCTGGGGCTGAGGGTAGGTTATTAATTCTTGCTTGGCCTCTGTTAGTAGAAGAATAGAAACAGAAAGAGAATCCCTAGAAAGCTTTATCAAAAAATACTACTACTTACAGGCTGGGAATTTAGCTCAGTGGCACTGCACCTGCCTCAAAAGCACAAAATCCTGAGTTCGATCCCCAGTACTAAAACAAACAAAAAACAAAAACAACAAAAAACTACTACTTTGATTCCCTCTTATTTACTTCCAAATACTCAGACTGGAATGCTTAAAAACTGTTTCAGAAATAGCCATAAAACATCCTATGAAAGTGACTGGGATGGCCAGGGATTTAGCTCAGTGGTTCCACTGCCTGTTTTGCAAGCGGCAAGATCCCAAGTTCAATCCCTGGTACCAAAGAAACAAAAACCAAAAAAAAAAAGAAAGAAAGCGTCTGGGAAAAGACTAAAAAGACATCATGTGAAATAGTTCACAAAAGAAACCATTCCAAGCATTTAAAAAATTTAATCTTCACTTAACAAATGCTTAAATATAGCAAATCTATCATGACACCCCGGACCATGGGAAGAACAGATTCAGGGACAACATTACCAAAGATGTAGCCTTTGCTAAAGATTTGGTAGAAATGAACATCCTGAACATGTCTAGGAGCCTTACTTCTTCCACTAAAACAGTCTCAAATTCTGTAAGACCACAGGCCCTTCTTCTCCAGAGAAATTAGGATTAAACCTACCTGCATACAACCATTCATAGGCAAATAATTACGATGAGCAATTGTCCTTCAAAATATAAATGATTCATTTAAAATTTCCTTCTTCTTTTTTCTTTTTTGGTACCAGGGATTGAACTCGGGTCCTTGCGCTTGCAAGGCAGGCCACTGAACCACTGAGCTAAATCCCCGGCCCCTAAAATTTCCTTCTATGGGCCGGGCGTGGTGGCACATGCCTGTAATCCCAGCCCCCGGAGGTTGAGGCAGGAGGATCGCTGTGAGTTCGAGACCAGCCTGGGCTACACAGTGAGTTTCAGGTCAGTCTCAACTACATAGTGAGACCCTGTCTCAAAAAAACAACAAAAAAAATTTCCTTCTATGACTCTTTAGGGGCACATTTTTGTCATTATTTCATTTTTAAGAGGGCTTACTAGAAGCCACATAGCTTAAAAAGATACTCACTGGGAGCAATATAGAAATTACTCAATAGCAATAAGCAGTTGCCACTGATGGGTGAGTAGTGAATCTGCTATATATATTTCCAGGTGAAATTATTTTGGTAAGGTTCCAAATTTTCATAAATCACTTCTTCATTTGTTGAAACAGCTTAAGAAGTCCTTCTTTTTCTGCCTTTTTTTTTTTTTTTTGGTTTGTTTTTTTTACACAGGGTCTTATCATGTAGTCCAGGCTGGCCTTGAACTCTACTTGAGATCCTTCTACCTCAGTCTCCTGAGTGCTGGGATTATAGGTGAGTGCCACCACACCTGGCTCAAGAAGTCTTTCTTGAGGGAAAAACCACAACTTCAATCTGAAGTGACCTAAGAAGCTCAAAATCTCAATTGTTGGTTTAGTCTCCCAAGAATACAGAACCTTCTACAAATGATTTTCAGAACACCTGCCTCATGGTTTTGTGTTTTTTTGTTTGTTTGTTTTGTCTTGGAGATAGGGTCTTGCTATGTAGTCCAGAACAGCATTGAATTCACTATGCAGTATCATTTCTCAGCCTTTTGGCTAAGATCAAGTGAACTCACTATGTAGTTTAGGCTGGCCTCAAATTTGTAGTGATCCTTCTGCCTCTGCCTCCCCAGTGCTGGAATTACAGATATATGCACCACAGCCGGCTGCTCTTCATTATTGAAGTAGTCTTCGCTATAAGCCAAAAGCCTAGCTAAGAACCTCTCTGTAGGCACAGTAAATTCTAACCCCAGAACAGGTCCTTCAGAAGGCTGCCTATATCCTGGCACTGAATGGTATTTCACTGTCATGTCCTGGCTTTCCTTAGGGATAAAAGCAGGCATTGCAATAGTCACTGATACAGGACTATTGTGATAGATGCCTTTGATAAACTTGTCAAAGATATTTGCTGATAGGTTTTCTGAAAAAAAATTTAAGTGTTTATACATTGTATATGTATATTAAATTATCACACTGTACCTCATGAATATGTATATTATGAGTCAATAAAAAATTAATTTAAAAATTTAAGTACTTGAGAAGCTGGTAGGTTTATTCCTTATAATAATAATGTAATCCCCCCAATTTGGATTTCCTCATGTTTATATTTTCACATATTTGTAGTATTTCTATTGAAGATCTTGAAATGCGTACAGAGTAAATATAGCAAGTGATTCTCAATAACTTCAAAGAAAGTGTGTAGTTTGTTAAAAAGACAGTTTTTAACCTAACATCCTTAAATGTATCCTTTTCTCTTTCCTCCTCCTCATCCTCCTTTTTCCTCTTCCTTCTTCTCACCTATCCTCCTCTGCCTCTTTATTTTTTTTAAGTCAGGGTCTTACTCTTAGGCAAGGCTGGCTTTGAACTCATTAGGTAGCCCAGACTGGACTCAAACTCGTGATCCTCCTGCCTCAGCCAGCCAAGTGTTAGGACTACAGACATGTGCCACCATTCCTGGCATCTTACACATATTCTAAATAGCAATAATACTGATGCTATTCAGCTGCCCACTTAGCCACTTCAGCTTAAAGAGCCCCCAACTGCAAATGTTTCCTCTAGTGTAGTGATGGTAAACCTTTTAGAGACTGAGTGCCCAAACTGCAACCCATAACTCATTTATTTATTACAAAGTGCCAGTACTGCAATCCAACCTGAATGTTGAGGTTTAAAAAAACAACAACAACTGTTATCCAATGCTCAGATGCTGGGGTGACTTGGCTCACATGCTGGTAGAAAGGGTTGTATGTACCCGCTGTGGCCTGTGTGCCATAGGTTTGCTACCAATGCTCTAGTGGAATTTTTTTTCTTAGTAGAACTCTTGAGACCCAAAGTTGTTTACTAAGAAGTCACATGAAGTCAGACATTTAGTTGTACTTTTAAAGCTTTACACGTCAATCTGTATTTAGGGATATCAATTCATGAAAACCAAGGAAATATGAAATTTGTTTTATTCAGTGCACAAAATAAAAATCACCACTTCTCCTGCTCACCTTCCTTTGGACACTTGCAGAATGAACATGAAGATCGATGCCCACCAGTGCTAGCTTTACACTGTAATGAAAAAGTAAGAATTCAATTTGACCAAAACCATGTTTAAAAACTTTACAAATATCCAGCACAATAACATCAGCCAAAAATGACACAAGCCATACTCCAGATCCCCTCAAAGTCTAAAGAACCTGATACTGTTTTACTTATCAACGCTGGCAGGTAAGATCGATGAGCTACTTATTTGAGAATTGCCTTCTCACAGAGCATTTTGAATTTGAAACAGCCCATAATGCTTTTACTTTGGACAAGGAATACTCTAAAGGATATAAACTAAAGAAACTGGACTATTCAATGGTTTAAAGAATACTATTACCCCAAAGCCACTGCCATTTAGTCTGTACCCAAAATTTGGTCTTGGACTGGTTATGAAACCACCATTTACATTTGGCTAGAAGTGAGAAGAAATCAATTACCAGCTCCTTTCTCAAACACTGATGAGGAGCAAGAAAAGAGAAGAAATATAGCACATCTGGCAGCTATGTGAAGGACATTAATGGGAAGAAACAGTTACTAGTCCAGAACAATGAAATATTTGTAGTGTGAATATAGTTCTTGCTTGAATTTGTGAAAGAATCTCAAGCAGTTATTTCATCATTCCGTTCCCCATAAGCAGATCATACAAAAAAGCCCCAGCCTATCAGCAAGTGGCTGTGGTACCTCTGCGTAGGGTGAGTGTATTTCCCCTCTCCACTGTCAGTCATGGCCATACGTCTTCCTTTAGCCAGTACAGTGAGAGTGAACACGGCCTACACTAGGTCTGGCAGAGGAAGACTTACTACTTGTGTGAATGAGCCTCTCTTTCTTTCCCTCAGTCAGGAGAACACAAATCTACACTGGGACTATTTTTTGGCCTGAGTCCTATGATGAGAAACTATATGGTATGACCCACAGACCTTGATAGGTAATGTAAGTGGAGAGTATAATTATTGTTTTAAACCATTGAAATTTGAAGGGTGTTTGTTACTACACCAGATTTACTATGATGTATAACACTGCAGTTGGTAGATGGCACAGTCAGGATTCTTGACCCCACCTCCCACCTGCATGTATATGGTGGTACTGGAGAGTGAATTCAGGCCTTCATACTGAGCTACATCCCAAGCCCTTTTTATTTTGAGACAAGATCTCACTAAATTGGCAAGGCTGGGCTCAAACATATAATCAATCCTCTGTCTCAACCTCCCAGAGTGCTGGAATTACAGGTACCAGGCTTAGCTGGTAGATACAATTTAAATACCCTAATACTCACCTATTATGGGCGCACAATTCAATTTAATTCTTTTTAGTAAATGTATAGTGCACCTACTACCACAATGTAATTTCTGTTACCCAAAAAAAACACCTACTAGAATTATTTCCTTATCTTACTACCACGCCCACAGAATAGTGCAATTTATGGTCATTTGTCTGCCACAGTGTTTTCAAGGTTCATCCAAGTTGTAGCATGTATTAGTATTCCATTCCTTTTTATTGCCAAATAATATTTCTTTTTATGGATATAATGTATACCAATTTTGTTTGTCCATTTATTAATTTATGACTTTGTACTGCTTCTACTTTTTTGGCTAATATGAATACTGCTTATAAATATTAAAGGGGTGGGGAATATTAGGAGTATGGCTGAGTGGTAGAGTGCTTTCCTAGCATGTACAAGGATCTGGGTTTAATTTCAAAAAAGAAAAGTTCTGAATTAGATAGCACTGTCTTGTAAAAGTACTCAATACCACTGATTTGTTCTTGAGATGGAGCCTTGCTATGTTACTCAGACTGGCCTCAAACTCCTGGGCTCAAATGATCCTCTTGCTTCAGACTCATGAGTAGGAGTTCTATGTTTTTAAGTGTTTAAAATGGTAGATTTTATGTTCTGTGTATTTTACCATGGTATATAAAAAAGTTAAATGCTTTTAAGGCAGTCTATGAAATGTGAGTGCTTTGGAGAATGACAATCATAGCTATATCTAATTGTATTTAATTAAGACTAACAAAATTTCAAGCTGAAGTTTTTACTGAATTACCAAGTTCTTTAACACTTTTTTTTTTTTGGTACCAGTGATTGAACTTGGGTCCTTGCGCTTGCAAGGCAGGCCACTGAACTGCTAAGCTAAATCCCTGGCCCAAGTTCTTTAACACTTTTAATGAATCACGGTTCAGAAACTAATTTTTTTTTCTGGTACCTGGGATCAAACTCATGACCTTGTGCTTGCAAGACAGCATAATATCACTGAGCTAAATTCGCAGCCCTCAGAAACTATAAATTTTTATAATTATTTTTAAATTAACCTACAGCTATAAAAACTAAAGCTATATTGTCATACTCACTGAAAACAAAATGGTCCTTTAATAAGAATATAGCCTAAAAAAAAAAAAAAGAATATAGCCTAACCCAGGCATGGTAGCACACACCTGTATTCCCAGTACTCTGGGAGGCAGGAAGATCACAAGTTCGATCTTGTGGCTTAGTGAAACTCACCTCAAAATAAAAAAAAAAAAAAAAAAAAAAAAGGGCCAGGGA